CAGCCCAAACCATTCCTTGATTCTATGCCTCTGACCACCCTGGCCTGGTCCTGGAGTGGGACAACAGAGGCAAAGCTGTCCTTCAAGCCAGATGGGGAGAAGGTCTGACACCACCCTCCTCTCTCTGCCGATCCTCTTCCCACCTGGTTCAGCTGTCTCCAGCCTCCGCAGTGCTCTCAGGGTGGACCATGGGAGTGCAGTCACCCATCTCCACCCCAGCCAGCTGCATGCACCTCAGGGGATGGTTCCCGGAGCTCCCCTTGTGACCCTCCATCTTCCACCCCCTGCACCCTCTCCCTGCTTTCCCAGCCCTCGCACATGGGGGACATGTGGGAAGCAGTGGAGAAACCCTGACATGAGGTTACGTAACGGGGCTGATGTGTCAGAGCTGCCCTTTGCCCCCAGCTCTCACGGTACTGACATGTCCCACTTTGCTGCCAGCCAGGCTGGTGAGGGGCAGCGAAGGGGGCAGCTGCTCCAGGCCATGGGCCAGAGACATGCGGAGAGGTTGCTCCCCGGGGAGGGAGCTGGCGTGGGGGTGTAGGTGAGGGTGGGTGTCCTGGGCACCGTAGCTTTGGCGGTCGTGCCTGGCAGTCTCTGTCCACTCCCAAAGGGTGAAGACTTTCTCCGGTTTGTCCTGACTTGGGACAAGAACAGCCAAACACGGGTGGTTTTGGTGGAATAGAGAAGTTGGCCCAACCAAGGAATGGTGCCTTCCCCAGTGGGAATCACAAGCCCGGTGTATCCGGGAGCTCCATACCATGCCCTGGATCTGCTTGAGACAAGCCAGGGGTTGCGCATCACCCCAGGAAAGGCAGCCAAGGGGCAGAGAGCACGAGAGCTGTGGGGGCCAGCAGCATCGCAGCCTTTGGGCACAGCGTGGCCGGGGGCTGGATGCCCAGCCCGGCTGCCTGGGCTCTATAACCAAGTTGTTGGTCAGAAGGGGACTGTGCACGGCAGAGAGGGTCAGCTCTGTGCCATCCTGGGGCTGTCCGTGCTAGGGCACATCCACCCTGCACCCTGGGGAGAGGTGGAAGACGTGCTGGCTAATGACAGGGCACACATACGTGTGCGCATACATGTGCACACACTGCGGCTGGGAGTCTTTTATTGAACACCAGGTAGCTGGGATGCTTGGAAAGGGAGACACTTTCCTCCCACTGGGATCGATTTCCCCTTCCTCACCCCCCTCACCCTCATGTCCAGCTGAGGGGTGGGACCCTGTGGATGGGCCTCTCCCCTCCGGCCTCGCCATCCCCCAGCGTTGCAGCCTGAGGTGGACGCTGCTGCGACCCATTACCCGAAGAGCACACGTCGGTGTTACAGCACTGAGGGCTGCCCCACGGCCGTGGTCTGGGAGGGGCTGCCCCGAGCTTCTGGGGAGCTGTGCTCCGCAGAGTCCTGCAGGTAGAAGGATCTGGAGTCCATCAGGAGCTGGTTGCAGGGGCTGTGGTTCATGGGCAGAGAGGAATCCGTGGGCAGATCTGAAGGGAGAAAAGAGCCGTGTGGGAGGTGAGGGAGGAGAGGACTTGCAGATTCAGCATCACCCTTAATGCTTCAACCTCGGGAGGCGAAGACACCTTGGCAGGGTTCCTATCTCTCAGCAGCTCGCCAGGTCTCACGCTGCCGGAGAGGGGTCGGGAGGGGGGGTCCCGCACAGCACAGGTCCTGCCCTCCTCCCTCCTCAGGCAACCGGTCAGGTACACCCGCAGGCATCGACAATCATGTCGGGGATGTCGGTCTTGACAATGTTGCTGTCCCGATCGTAGTAGAGCAGAGAGAGGGGCCGACGGTGCGTGGGCACGCAGCAGGAGTCCACGGCTGCATCCGCGTTGTTGGCTTTGATGAGGTTGAGGACAGCCGTGTGGAAGGAGGCAGCGAGGCCAGGGATGCCAGCCATATGCAGGGGGCAGAGCCCCGTGCAGTAGTTCATGTGGTATCCCTCCGGCTGGATGATCCAGTCCTCCCAGCCAATCTCCTTGAAGTCCACGAAGAATTCCTTGCGGCAGCACATCCGAGAGTCCCCGTTGCAATCGATACCGCGTCGCTGGACCCGGTGGGGTGTCCTGGCCCGGGCTTGGGCTGCCACAAATGGCCAGTGGGAATCACTGTGGCCAGCCAGGAGGGGAAATCCCCAGTCCTCCGCCACCTCCAGCTCCACAGTTAGCCTCTGGCTCCCTTGGCCAAAGAGGCTCTGGACAGCTCGGCCCACGTCCAGCGTGGTCCAGCCGGCCCTTCGCACCTCCAGCCGTGTCTCGCTGGCCACCGTCATGTTCAGCCCCGTTGGGTTTGGGTGCAAGAGTCTGACGGTGACAGGATGCGTCCCGGGGCCGGGGACTGCCCAGAAGAGGTAGAGGGTGGCTTGCAGGATCTCGGTGCTCCCAGCCAGCTCCTGGCTGAAGCGGAAATGCAGGCGGACGCTGCGGGGGGTGGAGGACCCTGTGCACAGAACCGAAAGCAGAGTGAGGGGGTGAAGGGAGCCTGGGGGGCTTCCCCAGCCAGGGGTCACTGGGTGGGAACAAATGGGAGGTATATCCGGACGGGGGAGCAGGACATACAGGCATTGCAGGGTCCCCACTTCCCTGCACTGCTGCTGCTCCTTCTTATGCCGCCCTAAAGCACGTGGGCTGGTGCTGAATGCAGACACCCCGCTTGGTTCCACCTCCTCTGGCCAGGTGTCCCCCCCATCACTGGAGCTGATTTTGGAGTAGGCTCTCCGGCTGTGTAACCCAGCCTTGGATTTGGGGCAGGTTTGCACCTACGGGGTTACCTCGGCTGGAACCATCCCCTGACACTGCTCCAGCACGTCCCACCTTGCTGACAGGGACGGTGAGAGCAGCGCTGGGCTCCTTAGCACAGGTCTGCCCCACAACCCCCCTCTCTCTGGCCTGGCTCAGCGCAGCAGAGCGAGACTGGGCTCAGCCCCGGACTCTCACCGGCTCCTCGGATTCCAGCAGATGCTCCAGGAGCCAGGAGCCAACTCCCCGTTGTCTTCATGTATGGGAACACCATGTGCTGCGGAGCAGCATTGTTCCCAGAGGTCCTGGAGCCCATGGCAAGCCCACAGCAACCACACAAACCACACAAGGGCCTGGAAGGGGATGTGACCAAATGCAAGCTTGGGCTGGGCAAAGGGATGGCGCAGAAGGATGCTCTGCAGGGTGCAGCGGTGATCCGGCTTCTTCCAAGGAAGGCTGTGTTTGCCTGGGGGAAGGGGGTGGGTACAGGACCACAGGACCCTGTTTTTCCAGTGATACTTGTCAGGACCCCTGAGAATGTTTTGGGGAGCTCTCTCCTCCCGGGAAGGCAGCTGATTCTGGAGTGAAATGTGGCAGCTCACCACTTTGGGTGGGAAGTGGATACACGGCTGAGAGCGGGGAGCAGATGGGCTTCGGAGACCTAAGTCCCCACTCTGGGAGCTGATGGGGAATCCAGGCTTAAAACCGTGTTTTGAAAACCGTGGCATTCCAACCCCTCCACCTCTAGCACGAGCAGGGAGGGTTCACCAGAAACAGGCGACAAATTCCTACCACACCACGGTCCATCTCTGCCCCTGTGCCCACCCCATTGCCCCACCGTGCCCCATATGTAGATGAGAGGGGTCCCAGAGCCTCAGGAGTGCTTCCCCTGCCCCTGGCGAGGGGTGGCTGGTTGGGGTAAGCTCAGGACACAGATGTAAATGTTCTGGATACGGTTCTCGTTCCCAGTCCTTCCGGCAGCAGCATGCCCACCATCCCAGTGCATAGCCTGGCACTGCTGGCAGGAGCGTGATGCCCCTGTGCAGCGCTTCGGAAACGCCTGCGTACAGGAGGAAACCTCCCACCATCGTCCCCCAGGCAAGACCTTCCTTCCCTCTGCGCCCCCCACCTCTGGGCCCATCCCACCATGCCCATGGGATGTGGGGTCTGTACAGACCTGACTCGGCAAAGCTCAAGATCTCGTATTCCTGCACACCCATCCCAGGACGCGGGATGCTGCCGTCACGGGGCATCCCTGGGGAGCCGGCCGCATCCGTGCGCTGGGCATGCATCCTGCGGAGAGCGGTCAGCAGGGTCCCCCTGGACGTGGGCCGGGTGATGTTGGGCCTGTCCGGCAAGTGGAGCTTGGAGAGGATGCTCTGCTTGGCCAGAGCCATGAGGACGTCCCGCTGTGTGGTTGGGGCCAGGGCTGCCAGCCCGCAGGCCGGGCACCACACTCCCTGGGGAGCCGCCATCCTCAGAAGGCTCAGGAGTAGGAAAACCGCCGTGGCTGTCATCCCCGGTGCCGGGAGGTGACAGCTTTGGGGCGGGGGTCTCAGCAAATAGTGTTTCTCCAACTGCCCGATAAGCCGCAGTCACCCGGGGATGGGAGCGCCGGGAGAGCGGAGCGCGGCGGCGGGAGGGCAGAGCTGGACTCCACCGGAGCAGAGAGCGAGGAAGGGCTCGTTCTCCTGACGTGGCCACAAATATTGGCTGATCCCGGGCGAGATAAACGCCCCTGTGATCC